AAATGATGGGGAGTTAATATAGGAAACTCTTGAAAGGAAAATAAATGGACTTCTACTGCTAGCCAAAATAGACAATTTAGCTTTTTTTTTTACCCTAAGCTCTACATCAGACAGATTCAATAGTAAAGATTATTAACTGAAAGTTTATTTTCCCCTGAAATCGTGTGTAGAAATGTTTGCGTATAAGCCATATGGTCATTTCTTCTCAGCTTTTGGCTAAGATCAGGTGTGAAGCCACATGGTCATCATTTATCCACTATGTCTATGATATTGGGAAGCCTCAAAACCATGCAATAGTATATAGACTTTGTATTTTAAGTAGCATTGAAAAATGAGATAAATGTTATCAGCCTGGGTGAAGGGGCGAAAGCAGGACATTGCAAAGGGATTGGTTTCAGAAATAGTGATGTCTCTGGGGTCGCTGACACTAGCTGGACAAGAACTACTCCCCTTTCCTTTCACCACCACACTTTCTTTCGTCTTTCCTCTTCTTTGATCACAGACCATTGGGTCTCTGCAAATTCAGTTTTCACAGGGAGGAAGTCTGAAGTAGTTGGAACGACGGAGTCGCCTTGGAGGCAGACCGGCCATCTGACGGCAGAGTTCATCTAGAAGAGAAGCAGAGCATGACGGCAGGAGAATGCAGGAAGACAGCAAGGGCTCTTGTTTTTAAGGGAACGAGAAGACTTTGCAGTGTGGTGTAGTAGAAAATGTTGAAAAGATATGGGTTAAACCCCCAGCTCTGCCATCTTACGAGTTGTTTACCACTTACTAGAAAGTTTCTTAACTTTTGTGAACCTCACTATCTCTTTTGGTAAAATAAGCATTAAAATAACCTGCCTCAACAATGTATTTGTGAGTATTGAAATGCAATAATGCATGCAAAGCACCCAGCACAGGTGGCCAGTGAATGTTCATTTCCTCTACATACCCAGCTCCCGATTCTGCTAATCATGGATCTATGAAATACAAAGATGAGGTCCAGTCGTTTGGTACACACTTAGGTGTTTACTATGTGCAAATAGCTAACTTTAGTAAATCCCTTGAGATACTTGAAAGTGCCTAGAGTCCCAGATACTCATCCTCAATCTCAAGGTGCTTGAGGTGGCTTGTTGCTTCCCGTGCAGGTGGCTTGCACAGAGCCAATGGGGGCAGGTAGCAAGTTTCCTTCTGCGAAGTTAACTACAGCTCTGACTCAGGAACTCGGCGCAAAGCAGGCTGCTGAGTCAGAAGCGGCTGTGTCGGTGGTGTCCTCACTAACCACAGCCATCGTTTGGGGCTAGCCATGGGGAAAGTGAGAAGTACCTTTTTTTCTGCTATGCAAGGTCTATAATCACACTGGGCTTTTGTAATTGTTCTTTTAACATCTTTCTACCTTCCTCTACCTCTGAAATTTCACAATAAGCAATGCCAATTGTTCCTAGAATTGGTGAACTGGTTATAAAGTAGCCAATTGCTAAATGTCTTATCTGTTTTTTACGTATCAGCCTATCTAAACCTTACTGTCTCCAAATTAGTGCGTGTGGATGTGTGTGTGTGTTTTCTTTTTAGAGTTATGAACGTAGCTGCTGACTAGTAGAGTCTGTTGTCTATAATGGCTGACTTGGTCTTTACCCTAGAACCCCAGTGAATGATCTTTAAAACAGCCAGCGCTTCAAAAATCTATCTCTATAGGAGAGGTTGGGAGGTTAATATCTAGTTGGAAAGGGATTCAGGAGAACTTTTCTTAAGATTGTGTTTGTGCATTAAGCATACTGCTTCACTTAGATTGTTTATTTGGGGTATGTTCCAGCAGGGGCTGGTGGAAGTTAAGGGGGCAGCCTAAACTCGTTCTCCAAAACTAGACTTGGATTCAGGAGCTTTTTGTCCCTATTTACCTCTCTCATAATTGTCCCTCTCCACTAAACCCCAGACATCATCTTACCTTTCATAACTTCATGCTCCTTACAGACAAGACGGGAGCAGATCTCATTGTTGATAATGTACATACGTCGTAAACTGCCATAGTCCCAATGTCATGGTCAAGGAAAGAGATTAAAAAAAAAAAAAAACAAGCCTTGAAAAGGAGAACTAGCCTGGATCTCCCCCATCTGGATTTCTTTAAGCATTTCAAACTTCTTCCCTCCCCCAGTGGAAGGGAGGGGATGGAATGGTATTAATTACTCTTTGTAACTTTGCACACTTCACCTAGAGTCAAGCTGAATATTCCTTCCCACTATTTTCTGTCTTCAGAGTTTTTTGCTTCAGCTTCTTTCCGTCTGGCAATAACTTCAACATACCAGTGTTTTCCTCATGACTCTCCTTTCTCTGTCCCTCGC